CATGGGTTGTGGGTTTTCTAAAGTGGAGACTTTGCCCTTTGGCCTCTTTTATCCTGGAGCAAAGGAGGCTCAGGGGGGACCTTCTCACTCCACAACCCCCTGACAGGAAGGGGGAGCCGGGGGGGGGGGTCGGGCTCTGCTCCCAGGGAACAAGGGACAGGAGGAGAGGGAAGGGCCTCCAGCTGGGCCAGGGGAGGGGCAGGTGGGACATCAGGAGGAATTTCTCCATGGAAGGAGTGGACAGGCCTTGGCAGGGGCTGCCCAGGGAGGTTTGGAGTGCCCACCCTGGAGGTGTCCCAGGAAGGCCTGGCCGTGGCACTCAGTGCTCTGGGCTGGGGGACAGGGTGGGCACCGGGCACAGGGGGGATCCATGGGCTGGGAGGGCTTTTCCAACCGTAATAATTCCATGATTGTGTCTGTGTGGATGAGGGAGAGAGGAGTGGTCTGTCTGCCAGGTCCCAGGTGTCAGGTGGGAGGAATTCCATGGGATGCAGTCCCTGCTCCCCCCTGGCTGTCCAGCTCACCTGGGAGCAGGGGGAGGCTCTCGGGAGCCGGGAAGGATCCGGGGCTGGGAAGGATCCGGGCTGTGCCTTTGGGACCCAGCGGAGTGCAGGGAGGAGATCAGAGCCAGGCAGGGGGATGGCAGGGGAGTCCTGAGAAGCTCCAGGGATGCTGGCATCCACCAGACCCAGTGGCATGTGCTGGAAGCACCTGGGACTGTCAGGAATAGAATCTGGGATGGCCACTGTGGAGCCTGGGGAGGTGGGGGGAGAAGCAGGAATCTCCTCACTTGCGGGAAAGCCAAGGGCTGATCCTGGGAGAACACAGAGCAGAAGGGAGGGAGCCCCCAGGAAGTGCCTGCTGGAGCAGGGGGCACCTGCTGAGGGACAGGGAAGGACAGGGACAACCCTGAGCCAGAACGGGACAGGGACAGGACAGGGCCAGCCCAGAGGACAAGGCAGGCCAGGCTGGGTGAGGGACAGTGGGCAGTTGAAGCTGCACCACGTGTGACATCCCAACCCAAACACTGCTGGTCCTTTCTCACGGATCCAGTCGGGGCTGGGGATGTCTTGGGATGTCCTGTGTGGCTTTTGTGCCACCCTCTCACCTCTGGGTGCCTCCCAGGCTGTCCCAGTCGGTGCTGTGGTGGCACTGGTGGTTGGGTGCCTGTGGGCTGTTGCTTTCCCACCGTTTCCCACGTGTAGCAGTTTTTTGGGATGATGAGTGCAGGTCCTGTGGTTTGTGTTCTGTTAGTGCTGACTCCAGGCCCTGCTCTGTGGTGCAGGGATGGAGATAAAGATACACAACCTTTGCAAGTTGGGTTTGCTTGTCTTTGGTGCAGCTGAACACGAATTTCCTGAGGACACTCAATCCCAGATGGGTTCAAATCATCCCCCCAGAGCCTCGTCCCCAGCAGTGCAGGGATGTCAGTGGGATCCCCCTCCCCTCATCCACATGTTCTCCAGGACTCGGAGGAGCTGCTCAGTCGTGTCCCATTTATCCTGTGAGGAAGGAGATGTGACAGTTGTAGCCTTGCTGTGTGTTCTCAGGGAAGTGCAGATATTTGGAGAGTGATTCAGGAGCTGGAATTTTCCTTAACATCACAAAGGCCTCAGAAACACAAACAAGGAGTAGATTGCAGAGTTTCTGTTGTGTTCAGCGAGCTGGTTTAGCTGGAATGTGGCTTCCCTGAGGTCACCTTTCCCTTCCCTTCCTCACACCGATGGCTGGAGTGAGCCTGGATGAGGCCCAGCATCCCAGCCGGGGGGGTCAGGGTTGGGAAGGGATCTCTGGGCAGCAGCCAAAGCCTTGGAGAAGTGCCCTGGTAGTCCTGGAGGTTCCTGGGGCACCTCCACTGGAACAGGGACCAGAGAGTTCCTATGGACATGGGGAGGAGAGTGGGATGAGGGAATGTAACACTTCCAAGAGCTGTGTGGGAGCTCCTACTGCTTGTACTGGATGAAGGGAACTGGGTCCCGTGGGACAGGGAGGGTGCCCATGGCAGGGAAGTTGGGAAAAGCCCCCTGAGCCCAGTTCATCCTCCTGAGTCTTCTACAGGGTTCATAAATCTCTTAGAGCATAAAGCCATCCTAGTTTTGACTGGAATTTTGGCTGGAATCCTGTTGTTCCAGTGGTGATTCCATGTGTTGTTAATGCACCTCTGGCCTCAAAAGCACTGATGTGGTGTTGCTGTGGTTTCTCCTGGGGAGGATCAGGAGCTCCTGCTCTGCTCTTCCCTAAAGAAATCTCCAGCTCCACCAAGCTGCTTGCAGTCCTGGCCACTTGGATTCCAAGATGGAGTTGTTTGCCTGTGCCATTGCCCAGGATCTCAGGGAAGAGGAGAGTGTGGAACTTCTGGATCAAAGTTTTTTGAAAAGCAGAGAGAAAACAGCCTTGCCCTAAAACCCCCACGGTGGGGGTGGAATGAGATGATCTCGAAGGTCCCTCCCAACCCAAACCATTCCAGGATCCTAAAAGGGGCAAAGGAAAAGCAGAGGTTGGCTCATCTCCTGTCATATTTAAGGGTTTCCTGCTGCATCCCTGGCTACTTCCACCTCTGCCTCAGATTTCCTCTCTGTTCCTGAGGAAACTTTGTCCAGTTCCCTGTTTGCCTCTTCTCCATCCTTGGGGAGGATGGATGGAGGGAGGGATGGACGGAGGGATGGAGGAATGGAGGGACGGATGGATGGATGGACAGATGGACAGATGGAGGGATGGACAGACGGATGGATGGAGGGATGGATGGATGGACAGACGGATGGATGGAGGGACAGATGGATGGAGGGACAGATGGGTGGAGGGATGAATGGAGGGATGGATGGACAGATGGACGGATGGAGGGATGGACGGATGGATGGAGGGATGGATGGACAGATGGATGGATGGATGGATGGATGGAGGGACGGACAGATGGATGGAGGGATGGATGGACAGATGGATGGATGGATGGATGGATGGCTCCTCCCTGGGTGAGGGCAGGTGCTGTTTCTGTCTCCCAGGGAGGTTTGGGTGCTCTTTGCCCCCTTCCTTTTGCCTTTCCCTCCATCCTTCCCTCATCCTCCTGCATTCCCACAAACTTCCTTGCAAAGAGGATGAGGCAAAACCGCCCTCGTGCAGGAGCTTCCCGGGCTGGAGAACAGCTCCCAGAGGTGTCCCTGGGTGCTGGCTGAGCCTCCTCCCTGGCCAGGGGAGATAAAGGAGCAGGCAGGGCCCTCCTGCTGCCGAGCAGGGACCCAGATAGGGGCAAATGCAGCTTTATTTGACTTTTTTCCCTTCTTTTTTGGCGGGAACTCGGGGTGTGTGTGGAGCAGATGAGCGAGAGGACTCTGTCTGTCCCCAAACTGATCTCGCTGGAGGCTCCTGATACTCAAATACTGTTGAGTAAAAAGATGCTGTTGAGTGAAAAGATAAAAAGTTGCCTTGCAAGTGGCTTTAAAATTTCAAACCAGGGAGTGCTTTGGAGTTTTGTAGCTTATTTGGGGAGTTTTGGGGCTCTTTTTTTTTTTTTCCATACTCACATGTGGGATCAGGAGCATGGACTTGATCTTGGGTTTCTTCTCCCCACCCTCACATTCTTCTGGAGGGCTTTGGTGGAGCCATTCCCTGTCAGAATTCCTCTAGGAAAACCGTGGACCCTTGGAAAAAAGCCTTTCCTGTCTCGCACTGCTCCTCCTCCTCTCAATGAATCACTTGTGCTCTGTGTTGCTCTGGGCTCCCTTCCCCGTTGACTTCAGTGCCTGGGATTTAATTAGAAATCTAGGGATGTTATTTGGAGCTGGAAAACTCCATCAGATTCTTCCCTGGGCAGGGGGATTGCAGGAATAAAAATGGAGGAATTGCAGTATTTGCATGTTAGCTGTCCTTGGGGTGAGCTCAGCAATCGCCTCCTGTCTCTGCACGTGGTCCTTTTTATCCCATTCCCAGTGGGAAGCGGCACCTCTTCCCTTTCCCACCTGGAAACAAACCGAGCAGGAGGATGGGCTTTTCCAGGGAAATCTGCTGGGAGTTATTTCTCCCCTCTGAATGCTCTGGGGGGTGTGGAAAAGGCTGTTCCTCAAATGGGAGGAGGGTCCTTCCTGTGGAGTCACAGGAATCGTGCAGAGCCCGGGAAAGCTCACGTTGGCTGGGGAGGGATGTGAATCCTGGGAGCTTTGGGGGAAAAAGGAGCAGTTTAAGTAAAAAAGGAGCAGTTTAGTGAAACAATGAGCAGTTTAAGTAAAAAAGGAGCAGTTTTAGCTGGGCTGGGCTGTGTTTGGGGGCTCATTTCCATCAGTGCTGTTGGGTCAGTGGATGGTAACAGCAGAAAAAAAACCTGTTTACAAACAACCCCCAAACCCTGGGCTGTAACATCCCGTGGGCTTGTTGGGCAGGTCTGCAGCTCCCAGACCCTTGGGGACATTCTCCCCACCCCTGGGGACATTATCTCCACCTCCCCCTGCTGCAGCGGGGTGGGGGAGATAAGGGAACAGTGACACTCACGGAGCCTCCCCTTCCCACCACCAAACACGTCCCTTTGTTCCCCAACAAAGGAGTTCCCTCCATGGAGATCTTCCCTAAAATACCCCATCAAGCTGCCCTGGAGAGGAGGATCAAACATGACCTGGTTTAGGATCTCCAGGTCCTGCTCTCGGGGGTGTCTGAGCACACCCGGCTTGGGAAGATCCAAAAATTCTTCCGTGCAGGAAGAAGTTATTTTAACAGCCAGTAATGTATTGTAGCAGCCCATGAATTGGGTGGAGGGTCAGAGCTGTTAGTTTAAAAATTGATAGTTTGGTTTCATATTTTTAGGATGCTTTTCACTCGGTTTCGTGGTTTTTTAGGATTCTTTTTACTCGTGTTTATTAAAGATGATGCTGCTTCTCACGAGCAGAAGGGTTAAGCCAGCATTAATCTATAATATAATTTAATAATAATATTTAAATGAGTAATTTATTCTATATTTATATAGAGAATCAGTTACTTAAATTATTATTGAATTAAGCAAGAACATGTTTTGAACTGTTGATGTCGTTTGCAAAAACAGGCAGCAAATCCAAATCCCGGTGTTTGTGAAACGCTGCTGCCCAGACCAGCAAAAGGAGGGATCAGACACTGAAAATACCCAGAATCCCTTGAATTTTTTTCCTGATTTGTGCCCTCCCTTCCCTCCCCAGGTTAAAGAACTCGTTCTGGACAACTGCAGGTCGTACGAAGGCAAAATCGAGGGCCTCACGGATGAGTTTGAGGAGCTGGAATTCTTAAGTACAATCAACGTAGGCTTAACCTCAGTTGCAAACTTACCAAAGTTAAACAAACTTAAGAAGGTAAATAAAAAACCTCCCAGGCCAACCCCTCCCTTTCCCCCCCCCGTGTGTCCAGTTGGGTAAAAACAACTGGATCCCCTTTGCTCCGGGCTCTGTGTTTGCACCCCAAGCTCGAGCTGTTTCTGTGCCTTTCAGCTCGAGCTGAGCGACAACAGAATCTCAGGAGGCCTGGAAGTGTTGGCAGAAAAGTGTCCAAACCTCACACATCTAAATCTAAGCGGCAACAAAATTAAAGATCTCGGTACAATAGAACCTCTGGTGAGTCGGGGCCGGGGGGGTGACCCCGCTGGGGGATGAGGAATCCTGGTGTGGTTTGGTGGGAAGGGGCAGAGACACCTTCCACAGAGCAGGTGACTCCAGCCTGGCCTTGGACACTCACAGGGATGGGGCAGCCACAGCTTCCTGGGCTGATCCCGGCTGGAAAACTCCCTCCCTCTCCCTGCCTGCTTGTTTCTTGGGAAGTTGGCTGAGCCTTGGAGCAAATTCCCCCCCTGGTTGCACGGGAAGGGCAGGGATGGCTCAGCTCCCCCATGGACACACTGCCCAGGGAGCAGGGCCTGTGCTGCTCCGACCTGATCCCAGGGAATCCTGGAGTAGTTTGGGCTGGGAGGGACCTTAAGCAGGTCCTGGATGGGCAGGGACACCTTCCACCAGCCCAGTTTGCTCCAACCTGGCCTCGGACACTGCCAGGGATGGGGCAGCCACAGCTTCCCTGGGAATTCCATTCCAGTCCCTCACCACTCCCCAGGGAAGAATTGCTTCCCAGTATCCCTTCCCAGTATCCCATGTAACGCTGCCCTCTGGCAGTGCACCCCCTGTCCCGGATCCAGGCCCTTATCCCGGTCCCTCTCCCTGTTCCCGGTGAGCCGCTGGGTCCCTCTAGTGGCTGCGGGGCCGGGCCGGGCTCCCCCACCCTGCGGGAATCCCGGGAATCCCGCAGCTCCCGGGACTCCTCGGGCTGTGGATCTGCCCTCCAGACACAGCACTGCCTTACAACGTCTCCAGGAGCAGTTCCATCGTGGAGCTCCTTCCCCTCAGCAGAAGGGAAGGGCAGAGCTGTTAAACTCCGAGGGCTGGAAGTGCTCCCAGTTGTCCCAGTTCTCCCAGTTTCAGGCTCCTTGTTTCCTCGCTGTCACTGTTGCTCCACACACTAAACTGCAGAAGGGAGATGTGTCATAAGCCTTGATAGAAATACTTAATAAGGGTGGATCCAAACCCTCAACTCCTGTGCTTTTATTGTTAACATGATAAAGTGCTGTGGGCAGTGCAGATCCCCTCCAAAAAAAACCCCAACCAAAAACCCCAGGAATCAATTCCTATTCCATTTCTACACCTTTTTCATTTTCCAGAGGCTGAGGTAAAAATCATTCAAATATTTCAAACGTCTCTTAGCAAAGTTCTTGTGTCCAAATACCCTGTTCCTACTTCCATCTGAAATAGTTTCAATACACTGAACCAGCTCTGGAGCCTTTGGGAGAACTGACTGGATATTATTTATTCTCCCCATGGTCTCTCACAGCACCATCACCTCTTCCCAAACTTTCAGTACACCTGACTGGCTCTGGAGCCTTTGGAATAACTGACTGGATATTATTTATTCCCAGCATGGTCTCTCACAGCACCATCACCTCTTCCCAAACTTTTGTGAGCTGCTGAACTCCAGGGAGATCCTTCACCCTTCCCAGATCCTGCAGCAGACCCTGCAGATCTCTCTCCACCCCAGTCCAGGAGTGCCCAAATGCCCTAAATATACCCCAATAATGCCCCAGAATGCCCCTGTGCCCATGGGAATCCCTTGGGTGCATTCTCCCAAACTTTTGTGAGCTGCTGAACTCCAGGGAGATCCTTCACCCCTCCCAGATCCCACAGCAGACCCTGCAGACCTCTCTCCACCCCAATCCAGAAGTGCCCAAATGCCCCAAATATACCCAAATAACACCTGGAAATGCCCCTGTGCCCACGGGAATCCCTCGAGCGCCTTCCCTCCGGCTCCCGTTGCTTTGTAGGGGATGAGAGCCGAGAGATGTCCCTGTTTTTTGCAGAAAAAGTTAGAAAACCTGAAGAGCTTAGACCTGTTCAACTGCGAGGTCACCAACCTGAACGACTACAGAGAAAACGTGTTCAAGCTCCTGCCCCAGCTCACGTACCTCGATGGCTACGACCGGGATGACAAGGAGGCGCCGGACTCGGACGCCGAGGGCTACGTGGAGGGCCTGGATGACGAGGAGGAGGATGAGGATGGTACGTGCAGGGCGCTGCTGGGTGGCCCCGGGGTCACAGACCCACACGCTGCCTCTCGGTGCCTTTTGCTTCCAGCTCTGACTTGGTGGCAAGAGAAGGGTGTTCTCAGCAGCTCCTTCCTGGCTGATGTAAAGGAGAAGTGTCTCAGTGTCCTCAAAGGAACGAGGGGAATGGGCAGGGCCTGAAAGAGCAACTTTCTCAGTCTTATCTCTAGTGAAAGATCGGGACGACAAAGAAGCGCCGGACTCGGACGCCGAGGGCTACGTGGAGGGGCTGGACGACGAGGAGGAGGATGAGGATGGTAGGTGGGGGTGGAGGGGGTGCCTGAGGGGTGCAGGGACTGCCTGGGGTGGTTGGCTTCCAGCTCTCGTGGTTCTCAGCAGCTCCTGCAGCTCAGTGTCCTCAAAGGAATGAGGGGAGAGAGATGGACGGGGTCTAAAGAGCCACGTCTCAAAGGGCAGGAACTGAGCTCTGTGGGACCAGGGACAGGGGCAGAGCTCTGTGGGACCAGGGATAGAGCTCTGTGGGACCAGGGACAGGACCCAGGGAATGGCTGGAGCTGTGTCAGGGCAGGCTCAGGTTGGATCTTAGGACAAGGTTCTTCCCCCAGAGGCTGGTTGGGCACTGACCAGGCTCCCCAGGGCAGTGGGCACAGCCCCAAGGCTGCCAGAGCTCCAGGAGGGTTTGGTTTGGATGATCCTCTGGGGCACAGGGTGGGACTCTTAGGGATGGGCCTGTGCAGGGATTGAAGTTGAACTGGATGATCCTTGTGGATCCCTCCCAGCTCAGCATATTCTGTGGTTCTGTGGATTTTATCCCTAGTGAAGGGTGGGAGTGAAGGGATGGGAGAAGGAAGGCACCAGGGGGAAGGCACTGAGAGGGTTCAGGGAACAGAGCAGCCAGGGGTGAGGGTGTGGGGCAGAAATGGGTGAGAAGGATGATGTGCAGATGGAGAAGGGCAGGGTGAGAACCTGGAAAACAGCAGGAATTAAGGAGCTGAGGCTGCTCCATGAGGACAAAACGAGATCAGGCAGAAGAGAGGAGTGAGTGTGTGTGTTGAAGCAATGAAGGAACAACCAACCTTTAGAGGCAGGGAAATGAAGGGGGTCCCAAACAAACCTGTAATGGCAGGGAAATGAGGGGGGTCCCAAACAAACCTGTAATGGCAGGGAAATGAGGGGGTCCCAGAGCTGGAGGTGCCACCTGCCCCCAACACCCGGCACGGCCGGAGGAGCCCCCGGAGCCGGGGAATGTGCTGGATCCCAAACCCAGCTCTCACAACAAAAGCAGAACAGCTGCACTTGCACTTTTCCCTCAGTGCTGAGTGGGAGCTCTGAGAGGGCCTGGCAGTGCCTGCTTCCACACAAATGCATGGAAAAGCTCCCAAAGGCCGTTCCTGCAGCAGGGAAAACGCTCCGGGTTGGAGCACGTGGGGTGGTTGTGTTTGATCCCTTTCCCCTTGGAAAGGGGCTGTGACCCCCTAAATGGATGGGGGGTGACACTGGGGGGTGTCAAGGCATGGGGGGTCCCTGGGAGGGTTCCCAACTCCTGGGGGAGATGTTCTGTTCTCTCCTGCTGGGAGCAGCTGGACACTGGGAGAGCTGGACGCGTCCCCCGGGCTCCAAAATGCATATTCATGGAAGGGGAGCAGCTGGAGCTGCACCAGTCCTGAGGCTCCACGAGTGGCTGAGCAGCCCCAGAGCAGGGGTGCAGCTGCACAGCTCCCTAAAATCCTCTGCTGGCCCCAGGGAAGGCTCCCTGTGGGCTCCTGGTGTCCCCGGGAGGGCAGAGCTGGGGCAGCAACATCCTAAAAAATCAGCTGGAAATGTCTGAGTGGTTCGTTGTGTTTGTGCAGAAGAGGAGTACGATGATGATGCTCAGGTAGTAGAAGATGAAGAAGATGAGGAGGAAGAGGAGGAAGGAGAAGAGGAGGATGTGAGTGGAGAGGAGGAGGTGAGGATTGAACTTGCTCCAGCTGGGAGCAGCTGGGCAAGAAATACCCCAAATACTGACAGTTTTGAGGACTTTGTCCCCCACCCTGTTCAAGGCTCTTCCCAGGAATGTTCCTTGGTGCTGGGACAGGCCTTTGCTGTCAGCAGAAATCTGGGATGGGGCTCAAGTGGGATTGTGGGAGGTTCTTCCCTGTCCTCCAGCCTTAGATCCTCCCCTGCCACTCCCGAATTGTTCCTCAGCCTTCTAAAAGCAGCTCCTCAGGCTCTGGGCATGTCCAGGATTTAACTCTGCCCCTGGAGCACCTTCTGACCAGTCAAGTTTTACTAAACCCAGGACATGGGGAACAAAATTTGCAGCTCCATATCTGTGATTCTGTGATTCCTTGGGATTTTCTGCACTGAAACTGTGCCAGAATCCAGTTACTCCCTCCCCAACCCCAGTTATTCCATCCCAACCCCCAGTTATTCCCTCCCCAACCCCAGTTATTCCATCCCAACCCCCAGGTAATTCCATCCCAAATCCTAGTTATTCCATCCCAACCCCAGTTATTCTGTAGCAAACCCCATTTATTCCATCCCAAACCCCATTTATTCAATCCCAGACGCCAATTACTCCATCCCAAACCCAAGTTATTCCATCCCAAGCCCCAACTACTCCATCCCAACCCCCAGTTATTCCATCCCCAACTCCAGTTATTCCTTTATACCTGTGTGGGAAGTGGTTCCTTTTTAAGACGTTTCTCCCTTGTAAAATCCCCTTGGAATTTTATGCTCAAACCGTGAAATTTAACAGTTGTTAAATTGTCAAACTGTTAAAATTCCTGCCCTGAACCCACTTGCTGACCTTCCCCTGTGCCTGAATTCCAGGAGGACGAGGAAGGCTACAACGACGGCGAGGTGGACGACGACGAGGATGAGGAGGAGCCCGGTACGGCCCCGCCCCTTTTCCCAGACAGAAACCCGGGATATTGGGCTTGGGAAGTGGGGAATTTTGCAGGAAGCAGGGCTGTGTCCATGCCCTGCTCCTGCCTGAGCTGGGGGAGCACTGGGCTAACCGAGGCTGCTTTGCTTTTGCAGAGGAAGAACAGGGACAGAAGAGGAAACGAGAGCCTGACGACGAAGGGGACGAGGACGACTAAACTGAAGAACCTATTTTGAAATTTTCCTATTGTGATTTGACTGTTTTTACCCTGTATTTCCCCTCCCCTGCACCCCCAACCCCTTTTTTTTTTTTTCTTTTTTTTTTTTTTTTCTTTTTCTTTTATTTTGTTTTTTTTCTGATTGTAATGTTGCTGTGGGAACGAGAGGGAGAAGCAGAGACTGGGTGGGCAAGGGAATAAAATACTATTTTTACTGCCACTCCTCCTCCTATTCATTGGAAATTTCTTTTCTTTTTAAATCCCCTTCCTTTAGTCCCTGTAACTGCAATAGTTTGAGTATAAACCAAGTGGTAATTTGTTTCTTATTCTTGGAGTGGATAACTTTGCCATCCGGAAGGAAAATAAGGATCCAAACAAAAAGCTGGGGCCCGGCGGCTCATCCCCCAAATCCCACCCTTGGAGACGGTGGCGGAGGTTGGGATTTTCCCACTCGTTAAATAAACAGCCAACAAGCATTTTTTTGGGGGGAATGCTGCTGGAATTCGAGGCAGGGCACCATCCCTCCACAGCAACAGGGTGAGAATGGCATCTTGCTCCGTGCTTTTCCTTTCCCCCCGGGAATGACTGCCATTTTCAGCCACTTTTCCCTGCTTTTTGGAGCTCCCTTGGCTTTTTGGTTTTTTTTTGGTTTTTTGCTCTTTGTAAATAGTGACCAAATGTTTTCCTTGGGCTTGTTTTTCTTTTTGGGGTGTTCCTTTGGATCTGCTTTGGGGGGTGAATTTGCAATCCCTGCCCTGTGTGTTGTGTGTTTTTTTTTCCTTTTTCCATTTGTTTTTAATTTTTTTTTGGAGGGGAGGGAAGGGGAGTTTTGTTTTTGTTTTGTTTTGGGTTTTTTGTTGGTTTTTTTTTGGCTGAGGTGCAGCCAAGACACTGAAAATGGCAGGCATTTAAATATATATATAAATATATATAAAAAGTGTTCCTAATTCCTGAGTTACTAGTGAGATGAATTTGACAATTGTAATAAAAAAAATGTTCCAACCCTTTTAAATAAGGTGTGTACTATTTTGGTCTGTAATATATAACACCAATAGAGTCGATTTTAAGTGATGAGAAACTACTTCCACTTGTGCTCTATACTTGGAAAAAAGACTTTTTACACCCCTAAATCCAGGAGGCAGTTCAGCATGTAGGGTAGGAGGTTTCTTTTCATACACTCAAGCACGAGATACTAATTAAAATTGTATTTTCTTACCTAGTGGAAGTCAGTAAAATGACTGAAAATGCCTAGTGAATGTACAGTTTTACTTTCATATCCCTCTTTAAAAATAGCTTTAGAAGTGACTTGTATTTCCTAGTCAATATTTCATCTGTATAAATACATTTGCAACAGGTTTTGGTTTCTTTTTTTTTTTTTTTTTTGGTTGTTGGTTTGTTTCGTTTGGTTTTTTTTGTTTTTGGTTGTTTTTTTTTTTTTTTCCCAGAAGAGCCAAACTTTGAGTTTTATGTCTGTTTGTCATTGATGAATTTCAATAAATCTTTTTATACAATTTTTTCTGTGGCTTATTTGAGTCCGATGGGCCACTGGGAAGAAGGAATTGCAGCCCTTTCCGAGAGCCAGGCTGGGAAATTCCCGGAGATTTTTAGGAGCTGGAGGAGACCTTTTGCTCCATCAAAAAGCTGGGGTTGGACGAACCCGAGGGAGAAGCCGTGGCTTTAATGCAGCTCCTGAAATGCCATTTTCCCTCTGGAGTGTGGGTTCCTGGTGGTGTGATCCTTCGTGCTGTTTAATCCTCTCCCTGTTTATCCAGGCCTGGAAGAAAGAATTCCTGGTTCCTTCAGCCCAGGGGAAGCTGCTCTGGGAGTGTCCAGGGAAGGGCTCCCTGTGCCAGGAGTCTCCGTGTTTTCCTGTCTCTGGAGCGAGTTGGGTCTGAAAGGTGAATTATGGAACAAGCAGCACGTTCTGGATGCTCCCAATCCCATTTCTGTGCCCTGCAGGAGCTGGAGAAGCTCTGGAAAATCCCCTGTTTCTTCTTAGTTTGATCTTTTTGGGGAAAAAAAAGAGCCTTTTTGTTTGGAGGTGGGAAGTGACAGATCCCAGCTATCCCTGTGACTGTGGGAAGCTGTTCCCACTTTTCCTGGCACTCCAGGTCCTTTTCCCAATCCCTCTCCAGCTCTCTGGGAGCTCCAGGATTCCCAGAGAAGGATCCATCCACAGCACAAATCCTGGGGGAGCTTCAGCTCCGCTCGAGCACCAAATTCCCCTTTGAGTGTTGAAAAGCCTCTGGGAAGGAATGGAAAAGTTGGATTCTGGGGGTGGAAAAGGCCCTTTCTGGGGATAGGAGGGTTGGATTTTGGGGATCTTGCTTCGGGTCAAAAGGCAGCCGTGCAAAATTCCTAAAAATACACCAAATTTATAAAAATTCCCAGTAATTCCTTGCTGTGAAGGAATTGTGCTCCCACAATGGAGAGTCAATGACCTGAACCCCACAGGGGCCAATTCCTGTCAGGACAAAGCACCCCTTGATTTTAGGGATATCAGGAAAAGGGGGGACCAGCTGCATCCTCATAAAATTCCCGGGAAACTCCCAGTTAATTCAACTCCACAGCATTTGCTTAATTCCTGATTTCCAAATCCAGACCTTGGACCTTCATCGTCTGTAAATTCGGGGGTATTTTGATTTTAATTTGAGTTTTCATTTTTCAGTTCGTCGTTTCAACGGGGCCTCTGAGGACGTCGGAAAACGGGGAATTAACAATAATCCTGCAGCTGAGGAGCCTCAGACAAAGCCAAACCTCCAGGAAGCAGAAAGTAGGTCAGGATGATAAGGATGAGCAGGGAGGGATGGCATTACCAGGGAAGGGAAAAACAGTGGGAAAGGCATCACCCCACGGCCCTTTTGGGAAGGGAAGGGACAGCTGAGGGCTCTGAGCCTTTTTCCTTAAATCCTGTTATCCCTGGGGATGGCAGAGGGGTGAGGGAGCGGCGGGATGGGAAGGGGGAGAGCTCAGCCTGGGATGGGGCCAGCTTGGGAAATGCTGCAGTAAATGGGGGGTTTGGGGATTAGGGGGCTGGATAAAATCCTGGAGGGGTCTGGGAATGCACAGGATCAGGGAACACTGCGGGAGCATGGAGAGGTCAGAATGGGATACAGGAGAAAAACTGGGAGGTTATGGATTCCTGGGTCTGATTTAGACCCTGGAAAACCCTGCAAAGTACCCAGAAACAGCTAAAAAATCCACATGCATCCCATCTCTCCCTGCCCTCTGGCAGTGGGAAGCCATTCCCTGTGTCCTATCCCTCCATCCCTTGTCCCCAGTCCCTCTCTGGCTCTCCTGGAGCCCCTTTAGGCCCTGCAAGGGGCTCTCAGGTCTCCCTGGATCCTTCTCTTCTCCAGGTGAACCCCCCCAGCTCTCCACCCCTTCCCTGCAGTGAGTGACACAGCTCAGTGTCATCCCTAAACCGGGAATTCCTGCTTTAATCAGCCCAGCTGGTGCCGAGGGAAAAGCTGGAGCTGACCCCACAGGGGGAGGTGCAGGAGGAGCAGCACGATCCCGATCCTGATCCCAGCTGAGGGTTTTTCCCGGGAATTGCACAGCCACGGCTCCGGCTGGAGATTTTTGGCGCATCCCAAACATTTTGGGAGCCCCCTGAGCCCCCTTTGCAAAGGGATCCACAGCCCAGAGCCCACCCAGAGCCACCCCACGGGGTCACATCCTGCACCAGCCTCCTGAGGAGGCCCCGGCTGGGTTTGTGCTGAAGTTTGCAGATATGTTAATTAGCTCGTTAATCATCCCCACCCGCAGCTGTAATTGGGCTCATTCTGCAGGAATCCAAGGAAAAACACTGGCTCTTCCCTTCCAAGGGATGATTTAAAGCAGTGGGTCCCCTCGGAGGCTGCGGGACGTGAACAACCTCACACGGAACAGCCAAGACCCAAAGAGTGGGGTTTCCTTCCAGTTCTGGGGCAGGATAAACCCAGGAACCCCAGTCCTGGCACCCAATGGTAACACAGCCCCCGACAGCAGGAAAAATGGGAAATAAAGCTTAAAAGCTCCGTTTCCATCCCAATTGCCCTCACAGCACCCCCTGGCTCACACACAGGGGTAGAGGCATTTTTCCCTGGAAATCTGGGCTCAGTCACCACACGGGAGGTTTGTAATGGATGGAATTTTAGCAGGATCTGTAGTAATAGGATGGGGGGAATGGTTTAAGCTGGAAGAGGAGGGTTAGCTGGGATATTGGGAAGGAATTCCTGGCTGTGAGGGTGGGCAGGCCCTGGCACAGGTTGCCCAGAGAAGCTGTGGCTGCCCCTGGATCCCTGGAAGTGTCCAAGGCCAGGTTGGATGAACTTGGAGCCACCTGGGCTAGTGGAAGGTGTCCCTGCCCAGGGCAGGGGGTTGGCACTGGATGATTTTTAAGGTCCCTTCCAACCCAAACCATTCCAGGATTCACCTTTGGCCGTTTCCCCCCTCCTGCCCCACCACACCCCTTTGTGCACCCCCAGAAGTGCCCCTGGGGGTCCCCCCACCCCCTCAGGGGGGCCCAGCGCTCCCACACAACCCCGGGAGAGGAAGGACAGGAGTGACCAGGGCTGTGGTGTCCTGAAAAGGTTTTATTCCAGCACTATTCCGTGGTAGCATAAATAACAACGGGCACTGACAGCACGTGGGACGCGACGGGGGCAGCGGGACACGCCGGGGGCACGGGGACAGCCCTGCCCGGGGGTGCCAGGCAGCTCAGCAGCTTGGAGCCAGGGAAAATAGGGATGTATAAGGAAATCCAGCAGTGTTTGGTGTCCTTCCCTGTGCTACAGGTCAAATCCATCCAGCCTGGGATTGTACAACGTGCTGAACCCACCGACGCCCACGGGGTCCATCCCACAGTGTCCATCCTTGGGATCCATCCCACAGGGTCCATCCCTGGGGTCCATCCCACAGAATCCATCTCTTGGGTCCATCCCTGGGGCAGCACCATGACATCCTTCCCAGGATCATCCCAGGGACATCCTTCCCCCTCCCCGTGGCCCTGGCAGTGTCCCAGCAGACAGGAGGAGGGAAAATCCCTCTTGTCAGAGGTGGAAGGAGCAAAAATCCCTCCCCAGGTAGGAACCCCAGCCTGGCTTTTTGTTATTTTGAAGGATATTGGGGCACGTGGAGCTGCTCCCTTCCCGGGCTGCAGCCCTGGGACACTCACAGGCTGCTCCTGCCAAATCCTGGCTGTGCCAGAGCCTGCCCAGCCATGCCATGGCCACTGGAACCACGGGAGGGATCCCGGGATCCCACTGTGGGAAGAGTCCCGGGATCCCACAGTTGGAAGGACCCTGTGCTCCCACCATGGGAAAGAGTCCCTGGCTCCCACTGTGGGATGGATCCTGGGTTCCCACCATGGAAGGATCACAGGCTCTCGCCATGGGAAGAGTCCTGAGCTCCCACCATGGGAAAGGGCCCCAGGCTCCCACTGTGGGATGTGGGATGGATCCCAGGCTCCCACCATCAGACGGATCTCGGGCTTCTGCCATGGGAAGAATCACAGGCTCCCACCGTGGGATGGATCCTGGGCTCCCACCATGGAAAGGCTCCCAGTTTCCCACCATGGGAATGCTCCCAGTCTCCCCCCACACCACCCCCAGCTTTGGTGATCCAGCCCTTCCCACCCCTTCCAGTTCTGCCCCCGCCGTCACATTTTTTTGCATAGGAAAAAGAAATTAATAGCAAGGAAGCGTCAGCTTTCCCGGGAATCCGGATCGTCCCGAGGGGGGGGCACAGGGCTCCTACTCACGGGGAGCCCCCGGCCCCTCGGAGGCAGCGGTTAGAGCGGGATCAGGGCCGGGCACACGCGGATCCATCGGCGCGGGATCTCGGCGGGGTCCTGGCTCCCGGCTGGGTCAGTGGGGACAATAAAATTAAAGAGCGAGTAGAAACAACGAGAGTTTATTTAGAAAACGTCCCTGGGAGTTAATTGTTCTTCGGGCTGTTCCGTAAGTTCTTTAGTTCCAGCTGGAGCTGCCGGATCCGAATGTCCTTCTGAGACAGCTCGTCCTTCAGCCG